GAAACGTCTATAGACACATGGCTCTCTTCTTTTAGCACCCGCGTGCTCGTTGGACTCAAAGGGGCCCCCTTGGTTCGAGCCATAGGGGCCGTGGGGTGACACTTTAGCTGCGACATCAGGCTTCCTATAGAAGCCCTCCGAAAAGCGTACGCTGCAGCCTCAAAGCCTTGAATCATGTTGTTACTGGCATCTTTTGTCTCTAAGACCATTACCACCCATGAGACGATGCGAGGGTCGATCTTTCCGGCACTTCAGGCACAAGGCGGAGCCTGTCAGACTGTCAGGAAGGGAAGGTTGCTGCTTAACAACGAATCTTGCCGACTAGCAAGCCTTCCGCCCACGTCTGCGGGTCCTCCGCAGGAATCCTTGTGACATTCGGACAAGGGAAGTCGGAAAGCGATTGCTGCAAGTGCAGCAGTGTCCAAGGCTGCAGCATGAAGAGCACCTCACATCTAGTGCCATGCTCACGACTACATGCAGCTCCTCGACAATGATGTGCCATGTGCCTGGAGTCTGGTAACGTGGCAATTCTGTCAGAACCGCTTTGGCTTCCAGACCTCGGCGAGAAAACGCACGAATTTCTAGTTCCTGAAAACCCTGCTTCAAGCACTTCGAGGCTCTGGCCCATGCGCTCCAAGCGACCCTGCAACGTCTGATTGTGTTTCAGCTGCTGATGGTACTTCTCCTTCGAAGGCGACGCGCGGTTTCCACTGCAAGCTTCTTTTTGACGGAGCAGCAAAGCAAAAGACCCCCGAGAGCCTGGGCAGATGCAACATCGGCCTCGGGATGCCAAGATTTGCCCAAGCAGGATGAAATCCTATCGCATATTTGCAGACTTCATCAGTTCATGCAGACATTATCGACCCGACCTCCCGAAGCCCTAAACCCTAGACCGTGGCAAATCTCTCCAAAAACCGTGGCAGCAGGAACGGACACGTTCCACAGGACAGGCAGCAGGGGAGCCGAGACCCCATCTTGCATTTGCTCCAAGACGTTGAGAGCATCAGCCTTCCACCTGCCATGGGGGAACTATAAGGGTCCCCACAAGGGCACTATAAGTGTTCTATATGGCTAGTTCTCAAAATTAGGGTCTTTCCAGCAAGACAAGGCAAACAAAGGAAACAAAGGACAAACCAAATCCTAAAGATGAGTTAATGAAACGGCTGCAGCAATGCTTTCGCCCCCTCGCTTACCCACTACGCTACCAACAGGTTGTGTTTTGTAAGAGCGAATTATGCAAAGACATGCTTCTTGCTTCAATGCTTCTATGCTGGCTGAGCCGGCTGCATTTAGTCATACCTGCCTCTGCAGCAGCTCCAATTCTTGCTGCATTTGGAAGGCAGATGAAGCCCATCCGTCCCTCAACGAAGCTGGCAGGAGATTTTGAGGACACTACTATGGCGTGCAAAACAATATATGAGAGGCCGACGGCTCTTGAGAACTCTTGGTCAGTGTCACCTGTTCAGGGTGGGATGTCGTCCTTTCAATTCAAGCATTACTTGAATTACTGGTCATTCGCCTCGGCTCGCTCCCCTCGCCGGCTGCCGGCGCTCTTTGCGCGGCGCGCCTCTACCGCAATGATCAGCATCGTAATTCGGAGCTTCTGCTTCTTGTGAAGCTTTGCGGAACAACCGTACTTCATGTCACGTCGGACGCCACGCATGCAAGACCCTGCTGCGCTTGGAAACTGAGCGCTTAGATTCCAAGCTGCAGGCAGGCTTGCGCGCAGAGCTGCCTGCGCTTCACCACACAATCGCCACTTTCCAAGGCAGATGCAAAGCAGAGCAAACAACCTTGCACAAAAACTACAAAGGAAAATGCACCATGCCCTCAGAAGTTAAAGGAAAGGCGATGCAACTTGGAACCAAGAGGCAAAGAGGCAAAGAGAGAGAGGGAGCGCGAGGGAGCTAGACAAAGGATGCCATGCTTCTGTCCCTGTCCCTGTATGTTGACATCTGTATATACCAGTTCACTGCCTCGTGCCCAAGGTGAACAGCCCTATACTGTCAAAGTATGTCAGACGTACAACATTCCGATACAGGGCGAAGTGTAAAGCAAACACGAGGTGGGGCATACACACATCCAGAATCACATACTTTCGCGGAGATGAGCCACAACTCAGTGTATTTCGTTCATACCGTGCTTCCCGAGTCGTAACTTGCAGTCCATACTGAAGCCATGCCTCTCGCATTCATCGGCGTCTGCCAGCCAAATCACACCGGGTTGCCAAGCTGTTCTGTAACACTAGAGGTTGGTCCAAATATCTCCAAAAGCTGCACCAACTTCTATGTGGTCACCCTAAACCGATCTAACTTACTTATATGATAGGGAGGGCAGTTGATTTAAAGTGTGCCAGACACCACTCTGTCAAGCCTTCGAGTAACTCATTACTTACCCAACCTCTGCCCTTTGTTCCCTTCGAGGCAAGTCTCCTGACTCGCGGACGGATGCGAGCTCACGTGCCTTAGTCAACAAAGCTAAGATAGGGGCCTTAATAATTGGGACAGGGCTTTGGGGCCATTCTACTACATATGATGCTCAAGATTGCTCAAGGGTGCCCATGATGAGTTTTCAATGTTCATGAACGGGAGGCACTGCTCAGATGCCGCCGTTTTCGGCCTCATAACCATGTGGCCGTTCTCTTTTCAATTCTGTTACTTGCGCGGGACATCCGAATGTGAACTGATTCGGGCACAAGGCCGCCACGCAAGGACGGTGTGCCCTCTGCCCTTTGCTGTCTGATGCAGAAGCAAGGCGAACTGCTAAGTTGGCAGTGGGTGTAACATGGTGTAACTGTGACCATGAACTACAGTGCAACAGACACATCCAAACCGAGGATACATATGCTCCCGCGCTTGTGCGCGATTCTCAGAAGCGCCAGGCACTAGAGATGACGGCTTCGACACGGACGGTCGCCTGCATTTCCTGATATGTGAACGAGTCACATCAGGATGAGGCAGGCGCGTCTCTTGCAAAAATAGGACCATGCAGGCAAGGGCGGACAGCTGAAAGGTCACAACTCCTTCCGCAGCAAGCCCGTTGCTTCCAACTGCATTTCCGCAGGCATTTCTTAAGCCGCCTCTCATGCGGCTGGAGGCTTTCGGCGGGCAATGGTCGGGCCCAAGTCGATGCTTAGATCCTGAGCACTGGGACGACATGTGCAGCAACATAGTGCTCGCTACGGTTAACCAGCACCTGCAGGGCTGCTGCCGAGTATTCAACCAGTCAAAGTTAATTGAAGACACGAGTCAGCTGCCTAGAGTCTCACAGGGCAGGCAGATTGCAACAAAACACCCCAACTCACGCCAAAACTAGTGCCCCACAACGGACACTTCCGTCAAGCTTCCACGTGGAATTCGTCACATGGCTTGTAGTCGCTGCAGCCCTCTCGGACGGGGCCCTTTCCTTCATTGGCGATGAGGTCCTGCCAACTGTGGACTGAAGATTTAGGCACTTCCCAAAGATCCACGCAGGCTATTGATACTTTTTTAGCGACAACCTCAACAAGAGCAACAACAACAGCAGCAGCAGCCGCAGCAACACTACTACAGACAGCAACTATCAGGACCACCGCCTAATACCAAAACGACAACGACGACGACTACCTCTACTACGACTGCTGCTACTGCTACTGCTGCTGCTACTACTACTACTACGACGAACTACTACTACTACTACTACTACTACTACTACTACTGGTACGAAAACGACTGCTACTGCTACTTACTACCACTGCTACTACTGCGACGACTACTATACGGCGACTGCTACTGCTACTACTACTGCTAATACTACTGCCACTGCTGCTGCTACTGCTACCGCTACCACCACTACTACCACTACTACCACTACTACTACTAGCCACCCCCCCCCCTACCAACTACACTTGCTCCATCCGGGCCGGGCAGTGGCAGCTTCTAGGCTCCCGAACTGCGACAGGTGCAGAAGATGCAGGGGCTCAGGCTCCCTATGTGTGACAGCTGCGGAAGTTGCAGAGGCTCACTTTCCTTAACTGTCACAGTCGGTGAAGTCGCAGAGGATCGGGCCCCAAAAC